CTTTCAAATGCATGTTCAACAAGTGCTGGCTTCATCCTTAAATAGGGGCCACCTGATTCACACCTGTTATTTCACAAAATTGATGACCTCACTGATTGAATGCCACACTGCTATTTTTTTGAACACACCCCTTTCAACTAATTGCCCAATTGCACAGCCTTAAGAGCGCGCATATCATGAATGCTGGGTCTTGTTTGCTTTCTGAGAATCTACTGCACCTACTGGTAACTTGTTTGCCATGTAGCAATAAAAAATATACTAAAAACCTGGATTATTCTGGTTAGTCACATTGTACTGCTATTACTTTGAACAATACTGTATATCACTCAGCTCTGAGTGCACAGTCCTACACCAACAGCTCTTCCCTTATTTGGTAGTTAAATCTTTCCTTGTTGGCCTGTGCCACACCATTTTCTTTCCTGCAGTAGTTACTGTACAGCAGAACCAGGACTTAATACCGTGCTCTTATCTTCCTTCCACTTACAATTTGGCTACGCATAAATCACCTTTCAGTGAGTTACTGAAATCTCTGCTAATGATAGCAAAAGACAAGCTGTGTTTTTACTAAATAGGACAAAAGGAGAGGGAGTCACAGGAAATCAGGGCACAAGTTTATATAAAGAGCATTCCAAATACAATACTTGATCCCAGCTGAGGAATTAGTGAGGAAAATGTGTTTACATGTGAAGTTTTGAATACAGTATGTCTACATGAAACTGTCACTGCACCAGTGTTAACATGCACAGAATATTAAGCTACTACTCCAGTTTACTAAGTGTTTTTGATATCTGTTGAGTAAAACTTTGTTTTGACTAAAATAATTTTCTGCTCAAAATTCACATATTACAGCCAGAACCCTTGGGTTTGTAACACTTTATATCCACAGTTCACATGTTACAGAATACTGCAATAACCACTGTAAAGAAATAGTAATATGTGCTGAAATACACTTATTTTAGAGAAATTGATTAAAGCTGGCTATGTCCTTCATCAAGAGGTAGATCTGTGCCATGTTATCTGAATATCTGTTTTCTTTTTCTTTCTGGTTTCAGGTCAATGTTGCATCACAGTATGGCACCCTGTACAATCGGCCCTTCGTTGAGTCTTTCGAGGAGACACCCATGCTGGTGGCAGTACTCACATACATGGGATATGGGATCCTGACCATTTTTGGCTACCTGCGGGACTTTCTTCGTCACTGGAAGATTGAGAAGTGCCACATTGCCAGGGAGAAAGAAGAACAGAAGGTACAGTAAGGGAAGCCACAAACACAGTGTAGTCAGTTCAGGAACGAGGTAAAATACACAGCCAACCAATAAAATAAACACAGGAGTGAGTATACAGATGTCCTCAGGCAATCTAGAAAAGCTTTCACTGCTGAGTCACCGCACCTTTTGGTGAACCTGTTGAGCACCTTTGTAACTGCTGGCTTCATCCTTAAATAGGGGCCACCTGATTCACACCTGTTATTTCACAAAATTGATGACCTCACTGATTGAATGCCACACTGCTATTTTTTTGAACACACCCCTTTCAACTAATTGCCCAATTGCACAGCCTTAAGAGCGCGCATATCATGAATGCTGGGTCTTGTTTGCTTTCTGAGAATCTACTGCACCTACTGGTAACTTGTTTGCCATGTAGCAATAAAAAATATACTAAAAACCTGGATTATTCTGGTTAGTCACATTGTACTGCTATTACTTTGAACAATACTGTATATCACTCAGCTCTGAGTGCACAGTCCTACACCAACAGCTCTTCCCTTATTTGGTAGTTAAATCTTTCCTTGTTGGCCTGTGCCACACCATTTTCTTTCCTGCAGTAGTTACTGTACAGCAGAACCAGGACTTAATACCGTGCTCTTATCTTCCTTCCACTTACAATTTGGCTACGCATAAATCACCTTTCAGTGAGTTACTGAAATCTCTGCTAATGATAGCAAAAGACAAGCTGTGTTTTTACTAAATAGGACAAAAGGAGAGGGAGTCACAGGAAATCAGGGCACAAGTTTATATAAAGAGCATTCCAAATACAATACTTGATCCCAGCTGAGGAATTAGTGAGGAAAATGTGTTTACATGTGAAGTTTTGAATACAGTATGTCTACATGAAACTGTCACTGCACCAGTGTTAACATGCACAGAATATTAAGCTACTACTCCAGTTTACTAAGTGTTTTTGATATCTGTTGAGTAAAACTTTGTTTTGACTAAAATAATTTTCTGCTCAAAATTCACATATTACAGCCAGAACCCTTGGGTTTGTAACACTTTATATCCACAGTTCACATGTTACAGAATACTGCAATAACCACTGTAAAGAAATAGTAATATGTGCTGAAATACACTTATTTTAGAGAAATTGATTAAAGCTGGCTATGTCCTTCATCAAGAGGTAGATCTGTGCCATGTTATCTGAATATCTGTTTTCTTTTTCTTTCTGGTTTCAGGTCAATGTTGCATCACAGTATGGCACCCTGTACAATCGGCCCTTCGTTGAGTCTTTCGAGGAGACACCCATGCTGGTGGCAGTACTCACATACATGGGATATGGGATCCTGACCATTTTTGGCTACCTGCGGGACTTTCTTCGTCACTGGAAGATTGAGAAGTGCCACATTGCCAGGGAGAAAGAAGAACAGAAGGTACAGTAAGGGAAGCCACAAACACAGTATAGTCAGTTCAGGAACGATTGACGATTGTTCAGATGTCGTCAGGCAATCTAGAAAAGCTTTCACTGCTGAGTCACCGCACCTTTTGGTGAACCTGTTGAGCACCTTTGTAACTTCCAACAGCAGACTGTGCAGTCAGCATACCTTTGGAATGACTGAAACGTTCTTGTTGTTTTCAATGCAATGGCCTGAACAAAACTGCTGTCAAGGGAAAGGAGGCAAGATGTGTTTCAGGTGAAATAAACTGGTTTGGTAGACTGAGCTCCAATTAAATGAGAATGTAGAAACCATAGTGATGATTGGGAAACAGGCCTGGTCCATTTGTCACTTTAACCAGACTCAACCAAAGGGATATTTCCACCGGCAAAGCTTCCCATCAGTAGAAGCTATAGTACAGCCGCTCATATTTCAAACATTTTAACCGTAATTGCTTGAAGCCAGTGTTTGCAAAGGAAGTATACAGTTGGCTAGCAACACCTCAGATTATTTGATGCAATCTTGCCAGCTGTAGTGATATCCCAGGCAGGAAATCAACTGTAAGAAAAGTGTTTGTGTATATGTACCAGAGTCAAATTTCTCATGTTCAATACACCTGGCCAATAAAGCAGATTCTGATTCTGATGTGCTGAAAGATGTCGGTGCCTCCCATTCAGACACTGAGTATTTCATATATTCTCCCTAAGGTAGTATTACTTTCCTACACAATAGTATGAACTTGCATATTTCAGATTAGATTTTTGTCAACACATAGCTAATGATGGGAGCTGTCATTATATTTGTAACATGTCCTTGACCCCTCAGATTGTTTTCAACATGTTATGCAATGTTTGATTGCAAAGACCATTGTTTAAAGTATTTGGTTATGTTGAGGAAAGGGAGCTAATGGGATAGATGTGGGGAAGTCATTAAATCATTCTGAGGATATCCCATGGATGTTTCCTGTAAGAACCAAGGAAAATTATCCAACTTCCTGAGTCATGAGTTAAAATAGCAAGATCATATTTCTAGGGATTCAATTCTTTTCTAGCTAAACTTTTCAAAAATATAAATGGCATGTAGTTATTTGTTTTATAGACAAAGAAAACTCCCAATAGTCTAAAAACTCCTTTATTTTGGTTTAGATTCTTTCCATTTCTGATATTCAGACTATGCACCTCATTCACAATGTTCTCTTGTTCAGGATTTTGTGCCGCTCTACCAGGACTTTGAGAACTTTTACACCAGAAACCTCTACATGCGAATCAGAGACAGCTGGAACAGGCCTATATGCAGTGTCCCTGGGGCCAAAATGGATCTTCTGGAGCAAGCATCCCATGACTTCAACTGGACTTTTGAGTGAGAAAGACATCTCTTTTATTCAAGACTGAAAATACAGTAATCTGTAATTTTGCTCCCAGGTATTCAGCCAGAAAGCCACAATGCAACAATAGAAAGGACAATTGTGCCATATGGTGGATGTCCCCATTAAGGATTACTGCTAACTGTGCTACCACTTTTATTTCCCACTAACACAAAGAAGAGACACATTTCACTTGAGACAAAGGGCTGGTTAATATTAGAAATCTGCAGCCATGTGAGCAAGGTTACACACTCACTCGCTGACCAGAGCTGACACAGATTACAGCACTGTAAAACACATTGTTATGTTATGTTATGTGGTACAGCACTGTAAAACACATTGTTATGTTGTAGAAGACACTGGAAAGTAGAAGTGGCTTTTGAGTTTTAGGTATGCAATATTGTGGTTCCTGTGGTCATTATTACCCACTGGAGGAATTATCCACTTATCGACTTAATGCAGATGTCTTGAATCAGTGTACAGTATCGGTCTGCTAGTAAGTAAAGTACAGCACAAGAATGTCAGACTAGGTTAGAAGTCCTTTAGAAACGGTGTCGCCGTTAGTTTGTCCACCAGAGACCACCGACAAGTTTATTTTTACACTGTAAAGTATACAATATGTATCTTGGTCACAGTTCTATCTATTTTATTTTCTTCCCAACCCAATGCAAGGCACATATGTTGTCTGAAGTCTAAACAGCAGAAACCACATGGAACAAGATCAGTGTAGATTTGAGCTCATTTGTAGCACATCAAAACCAGGTTTGTTTTGTTTCTCTTCATATGTGACTGACATGAATAATTGCATGCATGATCCTGTTAAATCATATTGAAATGGAGAATTTAAATTGTGCTTCGGGCCACTTTCATGTGTGGTTTATAAGTGTGATATGAACATTAACATCCTATCTTGACTTGTCACTGCTGTTTGAAGAAGGCTGCAGAGCAGCAGCAGTGGAAGGTGTTCTGTGAAGTGTAAGGGGGGTGTGTGTGTGAAGTTGTACACTGTGACGAGAAGAGCAGAAAGCAAAAATCAGAGGACATGAAGTGCCAGGAAGAAGGTGGGACATCTGCATCAATCGTTGTTGGATCCCAGCTGAGACTGAAAGGACTGGAAAAACAGAGCACTTTAATGTCGTCAAGCTTCTCACTGCACTTAAATCAATTTTTTTTTTTTTTTTAAGTAGCTGTACTAGTTGTTGTTATTATTATTATTAATTGTGGTAATACACTTCCAAAACATCAGCTTCCTTTAACTGATTGTTTCTTCTCTGATCATCTCCTTCTCCCTCTCAGGTACACAGGTCGGATAGTGCAGGATGTGATTAACTTGGGGTCGTATAATTACCTCGGCTTCGCTGAGAATACTGGTCCATGTGCTGACTCTGCAGCTGAGGTCACAATGAAGTATGGTGTCGGAGTTGCAAGCACCAGGCAGGAGATCGGTACAAACACACACCAAAACACAACAGGCACACCCTCTGTCGTTGTTATAACTGGAACGTAACAGCAAGAAGGTGTAGGGATTAATTCATCATATGGGCCAATCTATTTGTGTCACATTGGAAACTAAAGCCATGGATTCTGTCAGTGCAAATACTGTTTGATTGTAATGCAAATATAAAGTTCTCTTTAATATTTTAGCTTTATTTCTCCTGCACAGAAATCACTGTTTTTTTTTCTGACAAAACCTTGGGTGGATATAAAGCAATCTCTCTAAGAGGTTCTATATACTTTAGAAAACCATGGCTGTAGAACAAGCCTGATAAGATCCACATCAGCCTGGAAGAGGTGAAGTAGGTCATCTGATTAGCAGATTTTTATGATAGAGTAGAATGAATGTCACCTCTCTTCTAACACTGGGAGAAGGCCAGCCCCCAATTTGATAAAGAGGTCAGTAGTATGTGCTCCATTAAAGCTGCCAGTTGGAAATCTAATAAATTGAAGCATGTATATACTGTACAGTACATAATCTAGCACTTAGAGACTGATTTCATGAGTGTTTAGTTCATGGAGGTTTTACGTTACACTTTGTGCTGTGCTTTTAAAGAATGGAGTTGTCTGGATTTAAAAAAAATCTTTATTGAATTTTTTGCTAAGAATTAGATGAGAAGATTGATACCTTTCTCATGTCTTATGTTTTTGGCTCCCTGTGTGTTTTGTTGGTTAGCAGGCCTATGGACAAAATGCTGTACTTGGTACAGATGCTGGTGGTTAGATTTTGGCTGAAAAAGGTCAAGGTCACAAAAAAACAAAACAAAACAAAAATTCCCTTCTTTAATATGTGGCAAAATTTGACAAAAAAGCATTTTTTCATCAAAAGTTATCTATCACATATATGTAGGGTTGCAAGGTCTATCAGCAGACCCAATTTCATCTGGATCTGATCCGTATTCCAAATCTGATGGTCATTTAAAGTTGAAAACCCCATTTGTTTAACGCATATTTTCTGCCATAACTTAGCCTATAATTAAGATAAAACCCTGAAATGTTCAGGTACAGTATAACTGCCTCTCAGATTAGAAAAGATCATCTGAATCCGATCAGGATCAAGGATTTTAGGAAACATTTTGTGTTGTTCTGGATCCATTTGTGTAAGCGAATGTTGTCTTGGCAGAGGTACATGCACTCTCTTGTGTTGAATATGAAACTACAGCCAACAAATGGTTAGCTGAAGTTAGCATAAAGACTGGAAGAAGGGCAAACGGCTAGCCCAGTTCTGTCTGTTGAAAAATGAAATCCGCCAATCAGGCATCGCTTAAGAGCACCATTTAATACATGTGTTTTTTGTACACACTGAATACAAAAAGAGAGCTAAGAAAGTCCTGTGACCTTGCAGTGACAAAAAATATTTCAGGAAACAGTCCAGCACATACCCTTGACCATGACTTATTATTTTTACACTAGGGTTTTTCACACACATTAATTATGGGCAAGCATTTTTTAATTTTGGAAAGAGCCTTTGTTTATGCTGAACTAAGAGAAGGTCACTGTCTCTTAGCTTTAGCCCCACAGTGAGCAGGTAGTGATTAATCTTGTAAGTGTACATACAATCTTCTAAGTATCTTGTAAGAAAATAAGTGTAATTCCCAAACTGTCAGTCTTGCACTAAAAAAAAAAAAAATCTGTGTGCGATACATTTTAGAGGGGCTGATTGTTATATGTGTATGATGACCTCCTGTATGTCTGCACCTCAGGTAACCTGGAAAAACATGAGGAGATGGAGAAACTGGTGGCTAGGTTCCTGGGCGTGGAGTCAGCCATGGCTTTTGGGATGGGGTTTGCAACCAACTCCATGAACATTCCAGCACTGGTGGGCAAGGTAAGACCACAAATGGTAGGTTGTTCCTCAGTAGAGCGGTTATCTGTTCTTGCAGTATGCATTTCTTATCTGTACTCTTTGGCTTCCTGTTTTGTTTTGTTTTGTTTTTGGTTTTGGTTTTTTTTTCCCCAGCCATTTAGTTGTCACAGCACTTTTTCTCAACTTTTTCTGTGTCCGCCATCTCACTGCCACTCACTCTCTTTATATTACATAAATGTAGTTATGTATTTGTGTATAAATGCCAAAGATGAAATAAGTTCAGTACCTTGCACGTTTGTGTGGTCTCTAATAAAAACATTCCCTAACGACATACCATCATAGCTCACAGGTAACACCAAGTACACAGGGACACATAGCCAACTTCAGAGCTCATATCAGGAGCTCACACTTCCTGTTGGCAAAGGCATTTGGTGGGGTGACGCCTTCGTGCTAGTGTGAAAAATAACACGGAGTTCAGCCCAGTCAGTTTTGTTATGTTGCTGCTGATGCTATTTGGCAGGTAGGTATTTCTCCACGTAGTTAGTTTCCAGTGTGGAGTGAAAGCACTGGAGTGTGGAATTCTTTTGTTCTTGTGAAATCATGCAGACCTGCTGGTCAAGAGGTGTAGATTTCTTGCTCAATGGGTTCCCTTAATTGGCAAATAGTGCAGTCAAAAACATAGGCCTATGTACCAGATTTGTTGTCTACATGGAATTTTATTTGTAACCTTGTGCGTATAAATACTTTCATTCACATCAGTCTTGTGTCCTGCAGGGCTGTCTGATTCTGAGTGATGAATTGAACCACACCTCTCTGGTCCTAGGAGCCAGACTCTCTGGGTCCACCATCAGAGTCTTCAAACACAACAGTGAGTCTGTGTTAACAAACATGTCATATCACCTACACCTGCATTTGTGTCTTTCTGTTTGACAGTCCTGCAGTTTAGCTGATTTGCCTTCATGTTCAGTCATGTGTATAATGCTTCTTCAGTCATGTCTTGAATGCACTTGTTCTCCAAATGGCTATTATTGTTAGTCTGTCTGGCTTTTATTGCCTCATGTCAATGTTGTACATCACTATTTTTTTGTAATTGATATAATACATTATAGTGTGCACATACTGCTGGAGCATTCTGCATTTTCTGTCTCTGGCTTATTCTTGGGTCATATTATGAATATTTAGTAAAAACCTGATCAACCTAAGTGGCTGAGATTTAAGAACATTTTATTGTAAATTCACAGAAGACGCTAAAAACATAGATACAAAGAAGAGGTCTGGTACATACAGTATATGAAGATGTGTTGTAAGAAACAAATGCCACCAATTTCTGATATTGAATCTAACTGGGATTATAAGCGTGTCTCTATCATTAAAGACATGCTGGTTCACAGAAATTTTCAACCTATAAGGGGGAAAGGAATGGTGTAAAAGATCCTTGGGCACATACTATATACAGGTACTGTAAATGTGTGAATGCCACATGCAAACACCGCTCCGGTGTACTGCAGTAGAAAGATTAAACAGATAAAAAATGGGTAAAATATCCAAAAATAAGATGCATGTGAATGACCGACTGTGTCACCGTAAATATGCCATCAGCATTAAAAATCCAGATTATCACATGGTGCGACATTTTGCTGAACGCCATGATGTTATGATTTCTTTTTATGACATTGTTTGATGTCGTTGTGATGGTTATCTCCTTCAATTTGCAGTATTGTTATTTCCAGTGTATTGCCTGTACCTTGCACGTTTGTGTGGTCTCTAATAAAAACATTCCCTAACGACATACCATCATAGCTCACAGGTAACACCAAGTACACAGGGACACATAGCCAACTTCAGAGCTCATATCAGGAGCGCACACTTCCTGTTGGCAAAGGCATTTGGTGGGGTGACGCCTTCGTGCTAGTGTGAAAAATAACACGGAGTTCAGCCCAGTCAGTTTTGTTATGTTGCTGCTGATGCTATTTGGCAGGTAGGTATTTCTCCACGTAGTTAGTTTCCAGTGTGGAGTGAAAGCACTGGAGTGTGGAATTCTTTTGTTCTTGTGAAATCATGCAGACCTGCTGGTCAAGAGGTGTATATTTCTTGCTCAATGGGTTCCCTTAATTGGCAAATAGTGCAGTCAAAAACATAGGCCTATGTACCAGATTTGTTGTCTACATGGAATTTTATTTGTAACCTTGTGCGTATAAATACTTTCATTCACATCAGTCTTGTGTCCTGCAGGGCTGTCTGATTCTGAGTGATGAATTGAACCACACCTCTCTGGTCCTAGGAGCCAGACTCTCTGGGTCCACCATCAGAGTCTTCAAACACAACAGTGAGTCTGTGTTAACAAACATGTCATATCACCTACACCTGCATTTGTGTCTTTCTGTTTGACAGTCCTGCAGTTTAGCTGATTTGCCTTCATGTTCAGTCATGTGTATAATGCTTCTTCAGTCATGTCTTGAATGCACTTGTTCTCCAAATGGCTATTATTGTTAGTCTGTCTGGCTTTTATTGCCTCATGTCAATGTTGTACATCACTATTTTTTTGTAATTGATATAATACATTATAGTGTGCACATACTGCTGGAGCATTCTGCATTTTCTGTCTCTGGCTTATTCTTGGGTCATATTATGAATATTTAGTAAAAACCTGATCAACCTAAGTGGCTGAGATTTAAGAACATTTTATTGTAAATTCACAGATGACGCTAAAAACACAGATACAAAGAAGAGGACTGGTACATACAGTATATGAAGATGTGTTGTAAGAAACAAATGCCACCAATTTCTGATATTGAATCTAACTGGGATTATAAGCGTGTCTCTATCATTAAAGACATGCTGGTTCACAGAAATTTTCAACCTATAAGGGGGAAAGGAATGGTGTAAAAGATCCTTGGGCACATACTATATACAGGTACTGTAAATGTGTGAATGCCACATGCAAACACCGCTCCGGTGTACTGCAGTAGAAAGATTAAACAGATAAAAAATGGGTAAAATATCCAAAAATAAGATGCATGTGAATGACCGACTGTGTCACCGTAAATATGCCATCAGCATTAAAAATCCAGATTATCACATGGTGCGACATTTTGCTGAACGCCATGATGTTATGATTTCTTTTTATGACATTGTTTGATGTCGTTGTGATGGTTATCTCCTTCAATTTGCAGTATTGTTATTTCTAGTGTATTGCCTGCAAGTATATAACCCACTATCACAAATCTACCCTTAAGGGACTTTAAGGACTCCCTCTGTCCTTAGACAGATGGAAGATGCCTCAGGAGACAGGGAAAAGAGCCTTCTTCCAGGATGAACAGACATGCAATAGATGTCATGTGTACAGTCAGAATGAGGAGATGGGTCATATTTGAACAATGTTCTATAAACAGTTTGTATTTACTGTTTACACCTTAACAGGGTGGTGAGGTCCAAATCAGCTTGTATTCCAACCAGTATGCATGACTAAATAAAGGCTGTATATATCTCCCTGCCCTGTCCTGCCCAAGAGAATGCTTTTTTTTTTCTCCACATTTTCATTCCAACTGTGGAAAAAGAGTAACCGCTGGTTGCTGAGTCGATCATTTCAATCAAGCACTCAATATTCAGCATTGTAGGCCTGTCCACATTTTGTTTGAGGTTATATTGAAACTGTGTAAGCAAGTGTCCTACTTTCTTCTAATGAATTTCCAGCACACCAAAAACTGCAAATGGTTTTTAGTCACCACTGCCGACATGAATGTAACTCTCTCTTGATTTTTCTGTCAGATATGCAGAGCCTTGAGAAACTGCTGAGGGATGCCATAGTTCATGGGCAGCCCAGGACTCACAGACCATGGAAGAAGATCCTCATAGTGGTAGAGGGCATTTACAGGTAGCTTTTCTATTTTCTTAAATTAGACCTTGTAGGACATTGTAAGGCATTTTGGTTCAGTTGTCTCATCATCTATTATTCAGATGTTGAAGTAGGTTTAATCAGTACTGAGCACTGTGTTTGTAGCATTTATAGATGAAAGTGCCATTAGACAAAAGCTGTGGAACAATAGGAGTCACCCACTTTAAAATCCTCATGATTTCCTTCCAAGTTTCAACATGAACATTGCTTAATTCAGTTACACAAGTAGTAGTTTTGTCAGATTTTGTGTTGTCCTGCAGTACATCAACTAATTTTAGCTATTACGTATACCGTGCAAGAAATCTGTTGTTCTTGTTCCGCTTTCGGCTGCCCCGCATTGGGTCACCACAGTGGATTACTGCAATCCACGTACAATATGCGATGCAACCCTCCCATTTTATCTGAACTGGGGACTGGCACATAAAATATTTACCTTAAGCTACTGATCTGTAGTAGTTTAAAAACTGGGCAAAGCAATTAATGTGAGGGAAAATCTTACACAACCACATGTGTAAAAAAAAAAAACAACACATTTCCAGAATGAGCACTTTGCTTCTGTTGATGGTACATGTGGTTCCATTAGTTAGTACAGGATTGATACTCCTGTGACTGGATTGCTGGTAAAGAAAGCAGATTCAGTGCTTGGTTAGTTCTTGTCATGCACACAGTGAACAATGTTAATGGGTTACTCTGTTCTGCCTGACTGGCTGGTACAAGGAGCTGCACTATGTCCTGCAGTTATTCAATTATGTAATATTTCTGGTATTTCCTAGAACATTATTATCATACCTTTTATGTATGTTACCATAATATTTATGATGAACACTGTTCAACAGTCGACAAGCCCCTGACGGTTTTAAACTACAACAAATATTTCCTGGACTGTCAGGCAAGAAGTGAACATGAACACTACAGGGAATTTGACACTAGCTATTACACATTCTACTTTGCCTTTTCCTCCCTGCAGCATGGAGGGCAGTATAGTTCGCCTGCCAGAGGTGATTGCCCTGAAGAAACGCTACCGAGCCTACCTTTACCTAGATGAGGCCCACAGCATAGGTGCCCTGGGCCCAAGGGGAAGAGGTGTGGTCGATTACTTTGGGGTTGACAGCCACGATGTGGATGTCATGATGGGCACCTTTACCAAGAGCTTTGGTGCTGCAGGGGGATACATTGCAATACTTTTGCAAGGCACTGTATATCTTCCTGCCTTGCCCTGTGATGGGCACCTTTACCAAGAGCTTTGGTGCTGCAGGGGGATACATTGCAGGGAAACAGGTGAGGATGGGGTGCTGTGGGTTTATTTTATGGCTATTTAATTTGGTTTAGAAGCAAACTTATAAAAAAGATGTGCACATAAGAGATGCCAGGAGCAGCACAGCTGACTTCTAGCTCTTGTATAGTTTCCCAGTTCATAAACCCAGTGTAAATGTAATGCTGATGTTCAATGTACTCTGAGATCATACTATGAATGCTTAAGGTGTAGTCTCAGTGACAAAAGGACACCTGTCATCTGAGCAATGTGGATGCACAGCCTTGCAATTCATGGTCACTGCATTACTGACGCATTAGCCCTGTTCCCATCACTGTGATGACACCGACTAATGAAAACACAGAAAACCTGATTTCTAGACGTATACAGCTTTGTCTCCGTGAAATGCTTCAGGGATTGACACCCAAGAAAATGAGTCATAGCGCATGTGCAGCAAAGGTTCAGAACCAATCAAAATGTCAACCACTCTTATCACCTTCACTGCACATCCTCAGTTTTTGTTTTGGAGAAAGGCACTAGTCTAGGAATGTGTCATACGGTTACATTATGTAGCTCATAATGAGGAGGTCTTGCAAAGCTTGTTTATAAGTAGAAGAACAAAATGTATCAGTTTTGATCAGACCTGCACTTTGTGTTGGATATCTGGGCCTTTTATAGTTTTACAATCTGTAATTATAACCAATTGTTCTGCTGCATATCTACTTAAATGTCCTGTGTATCTGCTGGGTTTAGGAGCTTATTGAGTACCTGCGCTCCCATTCCCACAGTGCGGTCTATGCCACCTCTATGTCTCCTCCTGTGGTGGAGCAAATCATCACTTCTATGAAGTGCATTATGGGGGAGGATGGCACAACAATAGGTGAGTCCACATTCATACAATAATAAGTGTTTTAAGATGTGTATAAAAAAATAAAAATACAAAAAGCTCTGTCCTAAAGGCTAATTTCTTAAGTAGGATTCCCAGGGATGCAGAGTAACAGCAGGAGGTTAAGGTTTCTAATGTTTCTCTCTAAAGTACAAGAAAGGCACGGAGGCATTTGTGATTTTATAATAGACAATGAGCCGGAATGTTTCAGGCACAAAACCAAAGCCAAGAAAATTAGATTTTATGTTGTGTGTCTTAAAATATTGGCTACAGATAAACAAAATGAGCCTGCTTTTGGTGTCTTTATATTCCAACCACAAAGTTGAGTCCCTGGCTCAGAGAGAAGACTGACATGCTTAAAGTAATTATTTAAATAGCACCTATATTTTTAAATGTTCAATTCAGGCACAAGACCTACCAGGTCAATGATACACTTTTAAAGTTGCATTTATAATCTGTTTTAAGATCTGGAGGAGCAGCTACTGACAAGATGAGGCATTTTAGTCTAAAGATGGAGGAACTGTCAGCAACAAAGAGTAAAGAAACCACATATATTCAGTACAATTAGCACATTTGGTTTGTAGAGGACTTACTTTGTGGCAGTGTTCAATGAATTTATCATCAGCTACTGTAATTCCCATCATTATCCACCAGGTGTCAGGGTAAGCAAGTAAGATCTAAGAGGGGCTTCACCATTTTAAATAAAGTTGGTAGTATGCTCTCTCTGACTTGTTTACATTAATTTCAGTAGGTTTTTAAGGCTGGTCCTCATTTGATTACTTATTTTTCCATCTCCATCATGAGAATGGCTAACCCTAACGTCAGCAGTGCAAACTTTAAACCACTCTAACATAAACGAAACAAACTGGTCGCAGATCTTTCTCAGATTGAATTTGTTCTCATTTCTTTGTGTACTTGCATACAAGAAATTATTAAATGGTGTTCCTCCCAGCCCATTGCAATGCCACATCAATAAAAGCACAATATCTAAACTATTTCTAATAAATACATTCCTTTTTGGGCAGCACACAGCCCTGGAGGAAGACAAAAGGTCAATTCGGGCATTTAATTGTAATTAAATCTGCTCACCTGTCATCCCAGGTGTAAGTTGGTACCCAAGTTGAGGACTGGTAAAATTCAGTCACAGAAAATGTGACATACGAGCCCCTCCATCGAATACTGTACTTAAGTTGACTTGCGTATGTGATAAATGATTCACAGCTTATTTCTTTTTCTCTGAATGGATGGCTACGCAGTTATAGCATGGCATCTGACTGGTTAAGCCTTGTGTTTGGTTCTACTATAACATAAATGTCAAAAGGGGGGGTTAAATCAATAAAGGAACAGGAGTGTACTGGTGATGCCATGTTGGAAAGTGGATGGGGTTGTTATGCAATTGAAAATCAGGGTTGTGTCAAATTGGAGTGTATCTACGTGTTGTTAGTGATGATTTAGTGGTTTTGTTTACTTTCCAGGCTGTCAGAGATTGTGATATTTTCGCAATAGTTCATTTTCTTAATTGAGTATGGTAGGAAGACAAGGTCTGCAACTGAAGTATTTTTGCATTGATTTTGTTCTAGTTCTATCCATGAGCTATTATGACTGTCCTTCTGAATCCATGTAACTAAATATTGTAGTTGATTTGCTAAGAAATAATGCTGAAAATATGGTGCTTCTAGGCCACCTTGTGATTTCTCCTTCTGAAGTGTTGACAGGGAAATTTGGGGTTTCTTGTTATTCCAGTAAAATTGTGAAGTTAGAGAATCGAGTGATTTGAACCATTTATCTGTAGGTGTTGTCGGTAACATTGAAAAAAATGTATTTGTGGTAAAGTTTTCATTTTGAATGTAGCAATTCGGCCAATGAGTGAAAGTGGGAGGTTGGACCAGTGTTTGAAGTCATCTTCTATCTTTTTTAGCAGAGGGGTGTAGTTAAGGTTAAAAAGTTCTGGCAGCTTGGAGGAAATAATAATACCTAAATGTTTAATGAAGTGGAAGGGGGCAGTCTTGAGCTGCAGCATCCCAGGCATCTTCAGAGAGTGGCAATATGGTGGATTTATTCCAGTTTATTGTGGAGAATGTGTTAATAATGGAGAAAGTTTCTCATAGTGAACTGTGTGGGTCCTGTAAATATAATCATCTGCATAAAGACAAATTTTATGTTGAGTTACTATTTTGTATTCCTTTGCTATTATTCTGTCGTGTTGCTGCTGCTAGAGGTTCAATGAAAATGGCGAATAGAGATGCTGAGAGTAGGCATCCTTGTCTGGTTCCCCGGTGAAGTGTGAAACTTTGTGTAAAAGAATAACTAGCGAAGTGTTTGTTTATTCTCAGTGACTGTGCGCCGTCATGTTGAATATCCCCACACTCTCATGATCTCGCGATACTCAGTATGTCATCCTCCACAGCCAGCTCTCTCCTGCCAGTTTCAGTTTTAAGATCTAAATGAGATGGTCGTGAGACTATATGTGTAACTTGTTTGTATTTTAGTGACCTTATGAAATGACCTGACAAATAGTGTGTGATAAACTTTGTGCATTTCATTTGTTGTCAACCCTCATTTCTTCTTCCTGTCATTCTCAGGCTGTGAGCGCGTGCGACAGCTGGCAGAGAACACAGTCTATTTCCGCAAGAGGCTTAGAAAAATGGGATTCATCATCTACGGCAACAAGGACTCTCCTGTCATACCCATGATGCTGTACATGCCTGCCAAGATAGGGTGAGCCTCAAGATTTGAACTAGCCGCTGCCATATTAGGATTCTGACAACATCGGGGCTACTTTATTTGTCTGAAACTTAATTTTAGATGTTAACAATTATAAAACTATGTATCTCGAGAAAGAAATTGTCTACTATAAGAAAATTATTACACAAGTGTTATGTACAGTATGTGTGTAATCTTAGGTGGGTTTGATATTTTAATATCTGATTCCATATTGGGTTTCTCTTTTAATCTGACCAGAAATTAATTTAGGATTTCCCTCAAACTTTTATTTTTAACTAAATACAAACCCCCTTGTATATGGAATCTAGGATACAACTGCCAATAGGAAAATTTGCAATATTTAGTTTACTTGTGCTGATAAAGATGTCTCTTTAGACTCTGGTCAAATTGAGGACTTTCCTCTGTGTTGTTGCTCTATTCTCTAGTAAAAATTGAATGTAAAAGTTCATACTTCAGCTTGAAAACAGTGGTGAGACCAAAAGTGTTCAGTAATTGAACTTGAACTCAGTGAACCAAGTTAAAATATTTACTACTTTTTGGCCAAACTATTCCGCGCAGCTTGCTGTAACTAAAATGCCCATCCCTTCCATAATATAAAGGAGTAATCCTTATCAGAGTTTTGAGGCCATATCTGATCCCATGCAGATGCAACATATCTGCTAACATGGCAAGCCATTGTTGAAACGACATGTTTGAACAATAGCAGTTTCTTAGAATGCCTTGGGACAGGTGTTAATGTTTTATTGTTGTCTCATCATGTTTTTCCCTCCAGAGCGTTTGGCAGGGAGATGTTGAAGAGGAACATTGGGGTGGTGGTCGTGGGCTTCCCCGCTACACCTATCATTGAGTCCCGGGCACGCTTCTGCATCTCAGCCGCCCACACAAAAGATATGCTCGACAGGGTAACAAATGTATACTTTAAACTTGTAGATGGATAAGAAGCCAAAAAAAATCAAGATTAAACAACTCACTGCATTTCAGTGGTAGGGCTGGTACTAACTGGGGCTGACTTATGTCGAGTTATATTCCTTAAAGTCAGGCCTCTTCTGTTTCAAGATGGTGTAATGACCTTCAGGTTGTCTGCAACTAAGCCAAGAGACCATGGTGACATTAAAGAGCAGTCTAATGGGTGGAAAAACTGTCTGTAATTGGAAGGACACAGGTATGATGGCGTGTGACCTCAAATACAGTACCTGCTTATGGAGAATTCTTTGAGTCACTTCAGACACATTGAACCCCTCACTTCTCTGGCTGTGTCTGACCTCCATATTACAGAGGCCTGTAAAAAGAGGAGTCTATCACTCTGGGATGAAAGGACCCGGAAAAGTTCAAATGAAACGCCTCCAATCAAAAATGATAGTAAAGTGTCAGCTGAATCACTCAGCAGGTTTATGGACAGTGATTTCACAGTATATTGCTGTAGCAGTGATTAAAGTTCACACCTCCACCCTAACCTTCCTCTTTAATCATTGTGTTAGTCTATCAAGGGCAGAGCTTTGATTGCTCTGGGCACCACCTCCATAAGCTGTCCACAAGAGCTCTTCTACCACACCGCAGACCTGCCTGCTCTTCATCTACCAGCCACTGTCTTCAACTCCTCAGTGTGTCTCTCCTTTTAACATGAGTATAGATTGTCTCACACAGTGGCTGAGCCTGCCTTTCCTATCTAATTTGAATGTCCTTGTGACTCAAGTTAGCTCAGGTACAGACCATATTTTCCAGGAAATGCTGTCTGTTCGGGGCTGTACTTGGCTTCTCTAAAATATACTGGAGATAGGGAGTTGTAGTGTTACAGTCTCTCTCTGTTAACCTTCGTCTCTGTTTCATTCTCTCATACTGTGATGTGTCATGTTGATTTATCTTTATTGTACTATTGAGCTTTTTGTAGTTTTGTTTTCTCTTTCAGCCATATACACACAGATAATTTGATACATATATGTTGCAAGTGCTGCAAACCGATGTAAAAATGCATCAGCTCAAAGCTGCACTAGTCAATATTTTTATATTAACTGTAAAGATTGTGATTTAGTCTTACAAGACAGGTGTGTTTTTTTTTTCTCATTAAATGTCTTGGTTGGTGCGGCTTTAAATTTCCTCAAGCCACATATTGCCCTTCATGTTGACAGCTTTTTTTTATTTATAAATGTCTCCACAGGCTCTGAGTGTCATCAGCGAAGTAGGGGACCTTCTTCAGCTCAAGTACTCCCGACGCAGAATGCAGCCATCGTTGGTGCGGCCCTTTGACAATAATATGTATGAGGACATTGACGACTGATGAACCACTCCTCTCCCAAAGTGGCGTGAGTCAGAAGAACTCCAGAAAATGCAGAACGGGTCAAGATGGATCACAAGTCTTCCACAAGGACTGAGATGTGCACAGGTGCCCTTTGTCACTAGCTTGTCATAATGCAACCACCCAACAAAGGGAAAAACACTTAAAACTATCATCTAATTCTACTTTGCCTTACCTAAACATGCACAACCTGTGGTGAACACACAGCTCTACTTTTTCCTGTGTGCTTTTTATTTTTTATATCACATTGTGTCTAAGATTTATGTAAGTACATTTGTAGTGCTTGTAGTATTGTCATGTTCAGCCTTTTTATTCTTTATGGGAAGTGTACAGACATCAGCTTTCCAAATGTCTTGGCAATTGTGCGCTTCTGGGATATTTTTTCATATTGGAGATCTAAAATCAACTTTACTGGAGTTGAGTTAGATTGCTTTAAATTGTCAGTCAAAATTAAAAGAACTAAAACTTGTTCGTCTTTCTTTCAGAGCAGTTCTAATCACACAGAACAAATAGACTGAAGGCACGAAGCACTGGATGTTGCATTGTTTGCATGTGACTGATTTTACCTTCACCAGCTCAGAATAAAAGGGTGTTCTTTACACATCTTCCAACAACATGCAGCTGATTCACCTGCCTCAAAGACCAGGGGCAGCAAACATTTCAGAACAGACAGAACCGGAGTACACTGACTGAGGTGCTGCCTCTAATGATGCAACCAAACTAGAATGGCTTGTTTGCGTCATTAAAGGCAGCAAGTCAATCAGAGTGCTCCAGTCTCTTCTGGAAGCCAGGACCTTATATTCCTTTGAATCTTGTTGTTGACATTGTGCACTTGTCCTTTTTTTTTTTTTACATTTTTTGTGTATTAACTTTATTAGCAATCTGGTTCATTATTTTCTATCTCCACTGACATTGCGATTAGTTCTAGTATTTTCAAATTCAAATTTTATTTGTATAGCACCAAATCACAACAAAAGTCATCTTAGGGCACTTTACAAACTAAGGTCTAGACCTTACCATTATCACTGCTATTATAGAGGAAAACCCAACAAATCCCCCTTGAGCAAGCACTTGGCGACAGCAGGGAGGAAAACCTCCCTTTAATGGAAGAAACCTCCAACAGACCCTGGCTCTTGGTGGGCAGCCTTCTGCCTTGACCAGTTGGGGTGAGAAGATAGAGGAGAGAGAAGAGATAAGAAAAGCAACAAGACACAACAACAAACAAACGCTGGTCAAGTTGATGTGGCCAGGGCTACCTGTAGAAAGGCACAGGGTTTAAGATATGATGGAGCCTTGTCATTAAGGGTTTTGTATGTTAGGAGAAGGATTTTAAATTCTATTCTGACTTTTACAGGGAGCCAGTGGAGAGAAGCTAATATGGGAGAGATATGATCTCTCTTGCTCGTTCCTGTCAGTCCTCTGGCTGCAGCATTTTGGATTAACTGGAGGCTTTTTAGGGAATTATTGGGACATCCTGATAGTAAAGAGTTACAGTAGTCCAGCCTGGAAGTAACAAATGCATGGACTAGTTTTTCAGCATCACTTTGAGACAGGATGCTCCTGATTTTTGCAATACGGTGCAGAAAGGCAGTTCTAGAGACTTGGTTTATGTTTGATTTAAAGGTTCCTCACAGTAGTACTGGAGGCGAGAGCTATGTCATCTAAAGTAACTATATGATTAGACAGCAGATTTCTAAGGTTTT